GAATCATGTCTCTACCCCTCACTATTGAATCTCTTCCAAAATTATTCTCCTTCTCATTCTGCTCCCTTCTTGTGCAGATGGGTCTGGCTCCCCAAAGGAGTTGCCACTCTCAGCATTTTCCAACACAGAAAATCTGATGCATTCTGGGATATTCCTGACTACCAGCCAGTCACCCTTCTTCTGCCTGATGGTTACCCATTCTTTCTGATTGCACATCCTATCTACAGAACTCTCAGCCTCACAGATGCACTGCTGTGTTTCCAGCTGACACTCTAACTCCACAGCCCTGTGCTCAAGATAATCAAAGTAATGGCTCTTCCTGCTGGTGCAATCAACCAGGAGCATCCACAAACTCCCACATACTGCAAGCCATATAAAACATGGTACTTAAACTTAACTTCCCTTACATTAACATTATATTCCTTCACTTACCCTACTTTGGCTTACTTACATTATTGTATTGCTTTTGACTTACGCTTATTTCTGGTATTTAATAATACACTTTTCTAAATTACAGCAATTTACAGATAGACATTAATTGTAGTTTTTGAATCAATTCATTTGTAGACTTTGTGGTACTACTGTTGTTTGATTCAAAAAGAACTGATTACAGAATGCTTTGCACCATTGGTAGCAGTCTGGGAAATTTTGAAAAAGAATTGGAGAGTGCTTGACAAAGAGCAGTTATTTATAATATCAAAGCAGCTAAAGGGGATGTTGGATGGTCAGTATTCTGGTAAACACAGAGTTCCAGAAGTGAAAAGTGCATGATTTAAGCTCAGATAGGGAATGGAAGAATGATGGCAGGGAAACTAAAGATAGTTGAAAGTTTAGGGTTAGGACGAAGGCCCACTGGAGGAAACTAATTTTAGTTCACAAGGGATAGTCAACTGAATGGATGAACACTATATACTGAAATACAATGAAATCAATGACCTTCTTAGTCTTAATATTGGAAATGAGAGTTGTGGAGGCAGTTAGAAAAGAAAACAAACTGGATGTTATCTTTCTTTTCCAGTATGATTTTAAAGTAGTAGCTGGTTTTGTGAATACTAAGGCCTGGTAAAACTCAATATCATCCAGCCTCAGTTGGCGATGGATATTTAAATCAACTGATTGTCAGACATTCTGAAGTTTGTTTTACTAAGCTTGAAAAAGCAAGGATGGACTTGTACCAAGGGAAATAATTGTGAATGGAGATAATAAGATTTTCCTGAAGGGAAATGTGCTCTTTATAAGATGAATGTAGTGACTGAATGAATCAATGGTTTCATTATCATTAATAAATCTGCAGAAACTGGGATTTGAGTTGAAAATGTAAATAATTCTGCTGAGTTTTAACTGTGATATTCAGTGATTCTTTGAAAGCTGTCCAGTCACATTGTGTCATACGTTTGATGTCACTATATGTAAAACGGTATATCATGGTTATCAGAACCAGACAGTCAATGAGGATAAGTCTATTGCAGCTGAAGATACAGAAGGGTATTATTTGTAATTTAGGCCAAGGTAGTCTTGCAGCTCTAAACAAGGTGAATGCTGAACTGAAGGAACTTAAATAGACAGGTTTAAGAGAAATGTGTGTAGTTCTTGTGTGCATTTAAAAGACCTTCGTAAGAAACGGGAGGTGAGAGAATGGACAGTAAATAAAATTGGATGAGTCAAGGGTTTTCTTTTTAAGAATTGAGCAGCATAGAGTCATACAGCACAGAAACAGACCCATCGATCTAACCAGTCCATGCCGACTGCAATCCCAAAATAAACTGGTCTTAACTGCCTGCACTTGGCCCACATCCCTCCTATTCATGTACGTGTCCAAAATGTCTTTTAAACGTTGTAACTGTACCTATATCCACCACTTCCTCTGGAAGTTCATTCAACACATGAACCACTCTGTTTAAAAAACATTGCCCCTCATATTTTTAAATTTTTCTCCTCTCACCTTAAAAATACACCCTCTGTGTTTTGATATCCCCCACTCTAGGTAAAAGACATCTGCCATTCACTTTATCTATACCCCTCATGATTTTATAAATCTTTATAACGAGTAGCAGTTTTGAAAAGGACAGGGCAGAATTTGAACAAAAGGGATTTATTAACAGTCCCAACAAGCAAAGGAACCAGGAGAATTCCATCCCAGAAAATAAAAATGCCGTATTGAACATTGCTGAAGAGAAAGACACATTGCTGAAGATTTTTGTCTTGGTCTCATCGAGACAAATGCGAGCATGCCAAATTTCAAATGATCTTAACTTTTACTGCAGGAGAAAATGGTGCTAATTAATTTGTGGTCAATTCTGATTGGACGAGGCATTGCCATGGCGAAAACAACAGGGTACTATTGATTTCCCATGTTTAATTCCAAGAAGGTGCAAGATTTTGACGTATTCCTTTTGTTTGCAGAGAGCAGGTTTCAGTAACTATTTGTTGCTTCTAGCCAAATTACAAGATTGACTGATAATCTTATGTTGGTTGTTCATGTAACTATTAGCACACTCAGAATGTTTAACAAGTTCAACAATTGCAGAATCACATCTAACGGTGAAGGATTCATTTTGCAAGTGCAGGCTGGCCTGTACTCTGCCTATTGTGAAGAACCTGAAACTGTCAAGTTCCTGCTTCTGATTCACTAACTGGCTTTAAGTGAAGTTAATATCAGCTCTCACCTTGCAGGCCTCTGCTCTGGTAGCCTAATGATAGTGTTCCTATCTCTGGGTCAGAAAGCCTGTGTTCAAAACATACCTGCTCACAGAAAGTAGGTGTACAAGTAGGCCATTCAACCCTTTGAGTCTGCACCACCATTCAATAAGATCATGGCTGATCATGCAACTTCAGTATCCCACTCCTGCTTTCTCTACTACTACAGTGTGTATCACTAACATCTCTCAGCAGGTTCATTAAAAGTATCTGTGACTGTCACCTGTGGCACTTCTCTGTAGTATTTTGAGTGTGACACTCTCAGATTTATGTGTCATATTTAAAAAATATTCAACAACAACTGGAACAAGTTTATCGACAACACTTCAAACAGAAAGAAAATACAACCCAGATTGCTTGCTACTTTCACTCAATGTTTGCTTGAAGGTAAATAGACTTGAGACTTAAAAGGAGGCAGCTAAACCTCAGCACCAGAGTAACAAATTGTATGTATTACATATCACAAAGTGATCCTTGCATATACAAAGGGTCCAGTTCTAGGGGAATGGTGCTGGCTGAGGTTTTGCACTTCTTTAAATCTGTGGGGGGAAAGTAATTGCCCGGTAATCATACAGAAAAGGACCCTTATTACCATGAGAGAGAAAAATTACTGAAATCAAAAACTGAAAAAAGTACAAAATGATCGACCTAGATCCAAGTCCTCCAAGACTTTGGTTGTGAACAAGGAAGGTATGAGTGGATGCTGACTTGCTGCCTTAATTTCACACTTCCCACTTGTTTGCACATTCTGTTTACATATTTAGAAACAATTCATGAGGTTTCCTATCACTGTTCCCCATGTGCTGACAAAACCGATCTTAAACTGTGTTTCGGTTCTTCAGCAAAGCAGTGAAATGTGTTGCGGGAAGTTATTAATAAATTCTGATGCGGATTGGAGAATTTCAACACAATTCATGAATCGATTTTAATGTTGACTGTCTCCTATTAAAATGTATCTTCTGGTAAAATGAATTCAGGAGGAAAAAACATAGTGTGGTTAAAATTACATTTCACAGCCCCTCTGTTTTCAGATTGGTTTCGGCTGCTGTGACTTGGCAAGAGGTTTACCAGGAGCCAGAGGCCGCTTTTTCTCCATCTGTTGAACCAAGCAGTCTCAACCTTGGCAACTATGAATGCTTGAGGAAGCAAAAGTTTAACACTATTCGTGATTGATGGTACTTGAGAATGTTACAAGGTTAGCTGCCGACATTTTCCGTAAATGTTGAGCCGCTAGTATCTACTAACTCCAAAAACCTATATACGTATACATACAATTTGTCATTCCAGCAAATATCTTCAAAGAATTCTCAGTCTAATAGCTGTTGGGGTTTATTATATATCTATGCATGAATTGGGAATTTATTTTCTGATTCACGTTGATCGACGTTGACAGATAGTAAACATCGGCGCCTTAAAACAAAACGCGTACAATGCACCGATACTGTAAAAGTCATTTATTTATTTGGTGTTGATGCATTTGAAGAAACCTTGTGAAATCTCAGTCCCGATTAAAACAGGAACGGAACGTTGCAAGGTAGCAATCACAGCCATGTCTGAAAATTGCCGGTAATGCTGTGTTTTATTGCCATTGTAAGCGTGTCTTACAACCCAGCAAGTTGTCGGTGGGGTGTGTGAGTTTTGCTTTTCGCATTTGCTCTGGAGACCACCAGGATTTAAAACGTCTTCGCTCAGTCAATACTAAACAAATATTTAACAAAAGAAAAAAAATGTCTCGTTGTCTACCTCCAACCGTGTTGTTATTCCCAGCGACTTTCAAAAGGCAGTTTGATAAATAACACAGGGAAGAGATGTTTTTAAAAAAAGCACAATCTGCACAGAAGCTGAAACGTGGTTGTCGGGAGCAGGGTGTTGTCTGGTGTGTGTGTTTTTTTTTGATGGAAGGAAAAATATGGTCACGTACTTTCTGGAAATAAGCCGATCACTTTCTCTCTCTCTCTCATACACATACACAGAGGTCGACTGTATCTCCGAGGAGGGAGAAGAGGTGACTGATCAATATTAAGCAGAACTGTCATTCCGTTTGACTTCACCTGCCCGCCTCACTGTCTGGCAAGATGCGAATGGGGAAGGCGCTAAGGGTCTAACAGCTAACATTACCATCGACTTGGTGGTTTCATAGGGAAAAAGAAACAGCCAGACAGAGACAGAGAGAGAGAGAGAAACACACACCATACGCTAACCACCGCCAACCAACACCCCCCACCCAAAAAAAAACAAATAACAACAACAAAACAATTCACAGCTTCGGGTCTTCGCTTCCGAGTCATGTCTGAGCCGGAGAGATGGGCAAGATTGACGACAACGAGCGGATAGTTCTCAACGTTGGGGGAACTCGGCACGAAACTTACAGGACCACGTTAAAGACGCTGCCCGGGACCCGGCTAGCCCTGCTCGCCGACTCGGATGGGCAGAGCCTCCCTGACTGCGATCCCCGAGTCAACCAGTACTTCTTCGACCGGCACCCGGGGGTCTTCGCCTATGTGCTCAACTACTACCGGACGGGCAAGCTGCACTGCCCGGCTGATGTGTGCGGGCCCCTCTTCGAGGAGGAGCTCGCCTTTTGGGGTATCGATGAGACCGACGTGGAGCCTTGCTGCTGGATGACTTACAGGCAGCACCGCGACGCCGAGGAAGCGCTGGACATTTTCGAGACGCCCGACTTGCTGAGCGGCGAGCCCCCGGACGCAGACGACGAGGAAGATCTCAACAGGAGACTGGGCATCGAGGAGTGCAGCCTGGGCGCTACGGGCAAGGCCAGCCGCTGGAAGAGGTGGCAGCCCAGGATTTGGGCACTCTTTGAGGATCCCTACTCATCCAGAGCCGCCAGGGTAAGAATCTGAAGGCGAGGGTTCAGTGAAAGTTTGGAGAGGAACCCACGCTTCACCTCCCCTTTTATTATCCTCAATTCATGTAATTATTGTTTTTGCTCCCCGCGTCTCCAAGAGAGGAAAGCAGCAACACCGAGCTAGAGGAAATCTAATTTAACCAAGGCCATGATTTACCCCGGATTGCGGGGTTTATTTTTTGTTTTATTCCCCGCGAGTGGAAAGTGTTACAGGTTGTCAAACATATGCATAGCTTCTAGCGTTTACCATTGCTCCTTTTATCCACAACCCTCCTCTCACCAATGGTGCAATTTGCAGCTTCAGTTTGAAGGCACTCTGCAATTTGTTTCATCATGTGGATAGTCTGATGCAGCTATGTGTGGAGCACTTTCCCTTCTACAATTGTTGGAACCAACTTGCACTCATTTAATGGCTATATTACGCATGGTACGCGTGGTCATTTTAGTTTAGAGTGATTGTAACTACTTTAGAAGCGTTTCGTAAACGGTCGTTAACAAACATTTCATTGGAATCATTGTCTTAAATCGTGTTGCCAGTTCTAAGTTTTTTTAAAAAAAAGTACAGGATCAGGAATCATAACACTTGACTACGTTAAAGGGCAACCATGCAAATTCTGAGGAAATTTCTAGATTTGCTATAGCGTGATTAATATGATCACAATATCCACAGGAGATTTCATAGGAGGCAGGTGACATGTACAGATGAATCTGCTCCTGTTAAAGTTGTTGATAAGCCTGGGTTAATTACTCCCACCCAAAAAAAAACACTTATATAGCACAAACAGAGTAGTAGTGACAACCTGTTGCAAAACGTGCAACATTTTATTAATCGATTCACATCATGGTCACGTTGGCTATGATTGTTATATAGAGGTTGGAAAGAAGAAAATTTCAGCTCCCCGCTTGGAGAAAAAGTCTATTATATCATTAAGAACTATCCATGAATGGTGAACCCAATATCTCAAAAGTTAAACTGAATAACTTTATTCCCTCCTGAAGGAGCTCTAGGCCTCTGAAGTGACATTGGCATAGCAATCCGTGACAACCGATCAACTGTACATAATGTCAGTGTGTAGGTGACTGTGAAGTAACAGTGTGGTCGCCAGTTGTTATTAGAACTTTGCTTTCAATCACTTCCCCCTGGTTTCACATTCACTGACAGTCACAGCTTCTGGGTAGGTCTTTTCCAGTTGGCATGAACCGAAATCCACCGTTGGTTTGGGGACATCTGTTGGCAATACCATTTTTCACTTAGAAAGATAATCACTGAAGAATAGTCATTCAATTCTAGCAATTATTATTCCTGAGAGAGAGGTGGGAAAATACCCCACAATCGTGTTTTTTTTTTGCGTGGAGCATTGTAAGTCGCCCCCCAAGATATGATTGGAATGTTCCTGTTTAAGGAATATGGACAATGGCATTAACATAGACAACGTTAACCAGCCTGATAGGAGGGTGATTGCGAACAGTGATAACGCTTGTATGCATGGAATATGAAATAATTTAGCTGTGAAAACATTCTGATAGTAAATGGATTGACATCTGATGATAGTGAAAGACGATACATTTGCCTTCGTTTCCAATTCAGTAATTCTCTTCAGTTCTTGCAGTAAATGAATTGCTGGCAGTTATATAATTGATGCAAAATTAGCAACGATTGGCTGAATAATCAGTCTTTAGTCAATTATTGTCATGGAAAATCATGTTTCCATTCATCATTTGTATAGTTTTCATGCGTTATATAGGAAGCTGCGTGCTGTATTAAAATGATTTGTAAAGGAGAGGAGGTTGTTGTGATTGACTGGGAGCCTGTGGACCAGCTATCGGGTGCTGTCTTTCTCTCTCTTTCTCTGCTCTTTCCTCTCGCACTCATTCTGCTTGGCTGCACAGCAGCTGTTCTGGTTGCTATAGAGACCAGTATCTCCTTTGCACTGAAATCTGGTTCTCTTGCCTTGCTTGTGCATCCCGGTGAGGCAAAAGCCGCTGAGCGATAAAGAAAAATAAACCTTTCAGTATTGTACACACACACACACACAAACACACACACACACATTTCAGTACTATTTTAGGATCTGTTCTTAATCTGTTTGTTCCATCAAACGACTGCTTTGTCGCCTTAGATGTTATCTGATGCTCACTGTATCTGCTCCTCGAAGCAACTCACCAATTAGCTTCATGTAAATTCCAATCTCATATTCTCATGCCTTCTGACTTGGCAAGTGCACCCAACTGTTTGGTGCCACCCCACTTGGCCGGCTCATTCCACAGCCATTCCCTGCACCCCCCAAAATACAGCCTGGGGGTCAATCCACTGGCAGTGATGGACATAACTGGAACTGCATTCAGCTCTAAAACCAATCGTCAAGCTGGGGGCAGCTAGGATCAGGGAATTGGGGTACTAAAAGCAAAATCCTGTGGAAGCTGGCAATCTGAAATAAACAAAAAAGAAACAGAAAATGCTTGAGAAGCTTAACAGATCTGGCAGAATTTGTGGGATAGGATCACAGTTAACATTTGTAGTCTGGGCTGGACTGGACAGTCCATGGAGGAGGGTAAATATAGGGGTGAAGAAGAATGATAGGCCTCCAATGTGTGTGGGGGGTGTGGGGCAGCTGTAAAGTGGATTGTTCCCTTACTCTTCCCCACACATTGCCCAGGACCGACCTGAGTAGTGAAAGCTGTTGGGCTCTTATTTTGAGTGGCCTCTCTTACCATGGACTAAATCCCAGTGACAATGTTTGGAGGCCCTTAAGTCACCATGAATTGACCTTTAAGCATTTCAATTGGCCCAAGGGTGGACAGGCCTCCCATTGCCTCTCCCAGCATTGGTACAATTGTGGCAGGAGCAGATGTTTGGACAAACACCCCGGCCATGGCATCCAATATTATAGCCTTCTTCACACGTTAATCCTTTCCCAGGCTGTTGTGCAGGGATTGGTATAAACTCCAGCTCCACCATTTTCTTTCACTATTTTAAAGGCATCAATTGGATCAAACCTCAATGCTTTTTAAGGGAAAAGAGGCCCAGCTGTACAGCTTTTCTGAATAAGATTTTCTTGTAGTTTCTGGTATTTTCTTTGTTTTTTTCTTTTGCAGCTTTTTTTTTATAATATGAAAATGAGAACTATGCACAGCTCTCCAGCTGCGCTTTGATACAAGTTCCAGCCAGTTACCCTACTTTTTGCCTCTATCAGATCCAGTGTTTTTCTTGCAATTTTATAGACATTTTAACCTACATTGCTATGTTTGTGGATCTCATACCTCTTTGCTTGCCTAACCAATCAGGCTGCTATTTTATAATCACAATATGACCTCCTTATACCTGCTAACAAATTGCATTGCCTCACACTTGCCTGTATTGAAATTAGTTTGCATATCACACACTCTTTCTGCTTATTAAAGTATTTCCCGATATTTCAGTTTATTCTTCTTCTGTAGTAACTATGCCTCCTAATTTGGTGTCATTTGAACATTGTAAAAATGTACTTCCAATTCCATAGTCCAAATCATTCATGTAAATTGTAGACAGTGTGGCTCCAGCACCAATTCATGAGGAATGCAGATCTTACCTTTTACCAGACTTTTTCTTTAATGTGAGGTATGTATCACTGGCAAGAACAGAATTTGTTGCCTATTCCCAAATGCTGTTGAACTGTGTGGATTGCGAGGCCACTTCTGAATGCACTTAAGAGCCAATCATGTTTTTGTGGGTCTAGAGTAATATGTAAGGTAGGACAGATCATCTTTCTGAAAGGGCATTAGTGAACCAGATTGGTTCCAGTCAGAGATTTTCATCGCTGAGATTAGCTTTATATTCCAAATTTATTAATTTAATTCAATTCTGCCAGCTGCTGTGGGACCATTTGAACCCATATCCCCAAGGCATTCATCTCTGGATTAGAAATGCAGCAACACTACCATTACACTATTATCTTCCTCCAATGTGAGCAACAAATAAGCTATTTGAAGTAGATCTGCTGCAAGCTGGGTAGATAAAATAAAAGGAACTTGGTTCTAGCCATTTGCCTGGACTGCTGCCAACATACAATTTCTCAGTTTAAGTAAATGAAACCTGAAGACGAAGTTCATGCGGCTTTAATGGGATTTATGTAACAGAAGAAAAAATGGAAAAGAAATAGAATAATGTTCAGTAAATTATCCACTGTATAAATATATGTATTTCTATATCCTATTTTGTACCATCTTCTTTTTATTATTATATTTGCAAACACAAGTTTTCAATCTGTCTTCAGTTTTGGTTCTCATTAATTTATTTCATTGTTTAACTCAGAGCTCTTTTACATTCTGGTAGGATTTGCTGTACAAGACTATAGCTTTTGATGTAAAGGTGCAGTTGTTTAAAAAAGTGTCAGCGCTCCCATGAGAATCATGTATGAGTTTAACAGCTGCAATTTTATTTCACTTAAATGTAAATAAGTGAAAAGGAAACTAAATTTTTTGTGAATAACTAATTATTAAGATTGCTACGGTAGTTGCAACTGGACAGTTGATAAAGCAAACCATTGTTGGTACAGTGGTCAATGACCAAATTTTAACCAATTGTTAATAACCATGTCAGTTATAAAAAAAAATTGCATAATATGAACCAATTTTAAAGGAGAATTAAGATAAAGGCTGAATGAGTTAGCTTTGGTGTTGATGAGCATGATAGTATTCTTAAACTATTGCTGCTATATCCCAAAATTCAGCAATCTAAGAACCATCTGTGGAAAAGGAAAACACTAATTACATTTTCACATCTATTCAACAGCATGGAAAGGTAGGTCAGTTAAAGGCCATTTAAACAAGTTGCAGCCTTTCTGCTTCAAATTATTTCTTGGTAATCTTTTCATATTCTAATGTTATTGTTTTTTAAATGACAATATATATTACACAGTGCTATCAGCTCCACAAGAACAGATGGTGCTGTGAATAAAAACTGTCACAGTAATGCCATTAAAATCACTATAATCCATAGAGTTT